CCACGAGATCTGCGACTTGCGTTTAATGTAGAACGGCCTTTGAGTTCCACTTTTGTGGAAATACGGCTAAAACCAGCGGCTGAAACCGTCGTAAAAAATTACAATAGGATGGCCGCTCTCAGGTTTCTCTCTGCTAATACGCAGTCATTCTTTACTTTTCGTTCTTTTGTCTTAGACTGTACTCGTATAAATTCAACCAATCAGCAACGACAAGACAAAGACAGAGATCCTAGTTGTGATGCTCTCTATTGCGGACAGCTCGCACAATAACAAGGCGCGTTCCATATTATAGTTCAGTGGGCAGGCGGAAGACCGGGCGAAGCCGATAGAAAATCGGCTCCGTTACAATACTATTCTATAAAAAATTTCATGTCGCGCGATGACATTTCGTGTTTCTGGTTTGGACATGAAATTGGTGCCACGTAATTTGACACTTATATTAATTAATTAAAACACACGGTTATTTTATGCCGCAAGAATTATTTACAGTTAATATTTTTTATTAATTAATAATTATTTTAAAAGAACACAACATATTATCCGATAATAACATTGCAATCGTTTATAAATTTATATTCCGGTATCTCCATATTGGTCGGTGCCGGTCCTTTTCGTATCCGACCGGACGCGTCAAAGTGCGAGCCGTGACACGGACAGAAGAAACCACCGGTTATAATGCCGGCATTCGGAATCGGCACACATCCCAAATGCGTGCAGATTCCTATTACGACTAGCCATTCCGGCTTTTTAACTCTGTCGTCATCCGTTTGTGGATCGCGCAGTTCTGATAAGCTCACGGCTCTCTCCTGCTCGATAATCGACTGCGATCTGCAAAATATTGCATATAGCAGAGAGAAGAATGAGAGCGGCCGGGCCGTCCAGACCCATAAGGGTACGATCCCATGCACTGTTATTTTTTGCGTAACGCGTAACGCGTAACCAATCAGAGAGATTACGTGCTTTATGTTAGTACACGTAATTTCTCTGATTGGTTACGCATTACGCGTTACGCGAAAAATAACAGTGCATGGGATCGTACCCTAAGAGTTTTTACGATCGCTTTTCGTGGACATGGTTCTATTCCGTATTATGAGAACACACCGACATGGTGGGGATATGCACACAAGCGAGAACCGCCGTCATACATCAACATAATAGGTTTGTTTTTTTTCCTGCACCCTGGGTGCGTTCGCTTTGGACGCTTACGCGCTTTAAACGTCAGTTTGTCTTTATTGTGGTTTAAATATAGAACAAAGATAGACTGACGCTCAAAGCGCGTAAGCTCCCAAAGCAAACGCATCCCCTGCACTAGCTCACAGTCTATCTTTTTCTTTCTAATATGGATAAAAAAAGATCGACTGTGAACTAGTACAGCCAGTGTGCAGGAAAAAAAACCTACCCTAAATGTTGCACTCTTCCACGAGCGCGCACACGGACGGCGGTTCTCGCTCATAGACATATAATATATAAACTGCGCGTTCCCTACCTTTGCCATATTAAGAAAATGTCTTCAACGTTAAGAGAGACAGCTGGTGTTGCACAGTAGCCTCATCTTTGTCTAGCAAAGTGGGGAAAAAAGAAGTCTTCGCTAATTGATAGAATAGTAGTGGAAAAATGGATAGAATAATAGTGGGGGTGAAGAAGAGTGAAAGAGATTAAGGGGTGATGGTAGGTTAGGTGGTATGAAACAGTAGACCTTGATCCCACCACGGACATTGATAGACAGAGAAAGAGTTACTATTCAAAGTATGTTGTCTCTCTCAACGTTGAAGACATCTTTTCAGCCAAACGCGCAGTCTATATATTATACGTCTATGTTCTCGCTTGTGTACGTATCCCCTCACCACGTTGATGATCTCATAGCACGGAATAGAACCGGGTGACGTCCATTTGACCACGGTACAATTGGACACAGTACGATTGCACACGTAATATTGGACACGTACGATTAGACACGGTACGATTGACCACAGTACGATTAACCACATTCTATTTGACGCGAAGAATTTAACACCGTACGATTGACCACGGTACGATTGACCACGGTACGATTGACCACCGTACGATTCGACACGAAATTATTCGACACCGTACAATTCGACACCAGATTTTTCGACACCGTATATCATGTACATTTCAGAAAAATATTTATTTGCATCACATATTATAGT